GAGAGACATTTGACATTGGGCCTGGTTACTATATTGGCATTTGATTGGGTTTGGGCCTTCTTGTTGTTGGGCCTGATTACTAAACTTACCTTCGGGTTCATTATAATTAACCTTCGGGTTAGTTCTATTTTATTTAACTGACCTTCGGTTAGTTCTATTTTAAACCTTCGGGTTTTATTCTAACCTTCGGGTTTTATTCTAAACCTTCGGGTTCATTGTAACTAACCTTCGGGTTAGTTCTATTTTATTTAACTGACCTTCGGTTAGTTCTATTTTAAACCTTCGGGTTTCATTCTAACCTTCAGGTTTTATTCTAAACCTTCGGGTTTTAATTTTAAACATGGCTGCAAACTTTATTGAGAAGTTTCCTCAGCTTGATGTGAAATTTACAGGGACCAATTACCGTAAGTGGTCGATTTCTGTGCAACTTCTTTTTGATGCTCTCGATCTCACAAGTCATATTGATGGCACGCCGCCTCCTGAATTTGGAACTGATGCTAAGCAAACAGCGGCATGGGCTCTTGCAGACCGCCGAGCACGTGGCATTATTTCTTCCTCCGTAGAGATTGACATACGCATGCAACTTGTTAGCCTCCAGACTGCACTTGCCATGTGGCGCCAATTACAAGGACTTTATCAACAATCTAGTCATGCTCATTCATATTCTGTCTATCAAGAACTCTCTCTTGCTCAACAAGATGAGCGATCTATTCAAGAATTTTATAACTTTATGCATGCTCAATGGCGCCAACTTGCAATAATGGAGGAACCTTTATGTCAAACTTGTGCAGCTCATGTGCTACCAAACAGAGTCGTGTTCGCGATCAACATCGACTATTTCAATTCTTGATGCGTCTGAGATCTGAGTATGAGTCATTACGCAGTCAAATTCTCCATCGGTCACCGCTACCAACTCTTGATGATGCCTTGGCCGAACTCATTGCTGAAGAGACTCGCCAACGTGTACTAAACACAAAGACTACTTCTATTCAAGGTGCTCTGGTTGCTCAACAATCATCATTACCACAGTCATCTTCGTCCACGGTCTCCACACCATCAGTCTATTCTAACAAACAAAGGAATAATTATTGTCGGTATTGTCGTCGTCCTGGACATATCATCCAAAATTGTTTTAAGCGACAACAAGCTGAAAACCGACATCCTCGTCAACGATCCACTGCTACTGTTGCAATTTCTGGTGCTAAAGTTTTTGCTGATGAGTGTTCTACTGCTCCTGAGGAATCTACTTCGAGTGTTACTCTTTCTGTGCCACAATTGATCAAGATGCTTCAAAGGGGGGGGCACCTCTATCTCCTCTCCGGTTGCTGCTCCAAGTATCACGACACCCTCTCCATTTGGTACCTCTGGTCATACTTTTTCTACTACCTCTGGTCCTACAGGTATACCGAAAAATATTTGGATACTAGACTCTGGTGCTTCATTTCATATGACTCCACATTCATCCGTTTTATCCTCTACATCACTTTTACCTTCACAAGTCAATGTTTTTACAGCAAATGGCTCTTCTCTCTCTGCTACACATAAGGGATCTATTACTGGTCGCTTATCTGTTCCATCCGTTTTACACATACCACATCTTTCATTGAATTTACTTTCAGTTAGTCAATAACTGATCATAATTGTATTGTGGTTTTTGACTCTACTTCCTGTCATGTGCAGGATCGTCAGACCGGAGCCTTGATTGGTCAGGGTCATAGGCGTGATGGACTTTACATTATGGATCGTCTAACACTACCATCATTCTGCAGCCGTACACGCTATCACCACTCGCGATTATGCTTTTTCCACAGGAGATCTTTGGCATTATCGATTAGGTCACTTATCTACTGATCGTCTTCGCTTTCTCTCAAATAATGGCGTTTTGGGTAGTTCTCCCATTTCAAGTATGTCTACTTGTAAAGGATGTAAACTATCTAAACACGTCACTAAACCTTATCCTCTTAGTGAGTCTCAAAGTAGCTTTCCTTTTCAACTCGTACATTCGGATGTTTGGGGCCCAGCCCCCTTGTCGTCTTGTAATGGTAATAAATATTATGTTATCTTTATTGATGACTTTTCTCGTTACACTTGGGTTTATTTTATGCATCATCGCTCATCTCTACCTCACATTTATAAAGATTTCACTACTATGATCAAAACTCAGTTTGGCACTACTATTAAAACCTTTCGATCTGATTCTGGTGGTGAATATCTCTCTCATGAGTTTCGTCAAATTCTAGCTGATCAAGGCAGCTTTCATGTCCCTATGCACATCAGCAAAATGGTGTTTCAGAAAGAAAACACCGTCATATTATGGAGACTACAAGATCATTACTCATCTCTAGTTCCATGCCTAAACAATTTTGGGCTGATGCTGTTGCTACATCTGTGTATCTCATCAATTTGATGCCCTCTTCAGTTCTTTCTGACATCTCACCATTTGAAAAATTAACATCCCGTCGTCCATGTTATTCACATCTTCGTGTGTTTGGCTGTACTTGTCTAGTTCTATTACCATCTCATGAAAGAGATAAGTTATCTCCTCGTTCTGCGATTTGTGTTTTTCTTGGATACAGTCTTGAGCACAAAGGATATCGCTGTTATGATCCCATTAAAAAGAGACTCCGCATTTCCCGAGACGTGACCTTTTTGGAGCACCTTTCATATTACTCTAGACAGTCCCTCAATGACAATAATACATCACCTACTTCCGTTGATCTTTCATTTCTTGAGCTTACCACACCTTCGATTCCAGTAGATTCATCACCTTCCTCTCCATCTCTATCCTCTGATGATCACCAAAGTGTACATGTTCCAGTCTCACCTACTGACCATTCACCCTCGGCCCCGGATGATGATTCTTCACCAGCTGATCGCCGCTATCCTCTCCGTATTCGTAAGGCAAAACAATTCTTTGGTTGTCTTTCTTCATCTTTTACTCCTGCTTTTCATGCCTTCTTGACAGCCATTCATTCGCATCATGAGCCTACATCTTATCGTCAGGCTGCTTCTTCTCCTGAGTGGCAAGCAGCTATGGAGGAAGAGTTAGCCGCCCTTCAAAAGACTGGTACTTGGGATCTTGTCTCATTACCTCCAGGAAAAGTTCCAATTAGTTGCAAATGGGTTTATAAAATTAAAACCTGTTCAGATGGTACAATAGATCGGTACAAGGCTCGTCTAGTTGCTCGAGGATTTACCCAAGAATATGGGATTGATTATGAGGAGACGTTTGCTCCTGTTGCTAAGATGACATCAGTTCGAACTCTTATTGCTGTTGCAGCTGCTCAACAGTGGCCTCTCTATCAGCTTGATGTGAAGAATGCTTTTCTTCATGGTGATCTTCATGAAGAAGTTTATATGCAACCACCTCAAGGTCTTCCTCATTTGTCAGGACAAGTTTGTCATCTTCGTCGTGCATTATATGGCCTAAAACAAGCTCCTCGAGCCTGGTTTGAGAAATTCAGCTCTGCAGTACTTAATATGGGTTTTATTCAGAGTGAGGCTGATCATGCGATGTTTGTTCATACATCTAGTCGAGGATGCACTATTCTTCTTCTTTATGTTGATGATATGGTCATTACTGGCAGTGATCCTTCATTTCTGAATACTGTGAAGACCTCTCTGCATGAAAAATTTGAGATGAAAGATCTTGGGCATCTTCGATATTTTCTAGGACTCGAAGTTGCATATGGACCACGAGGATATCTTCTTTCTCAACAAAAATACATTTCTGATCTTTTGGCTCGAGCTGAGTTGACTGATGATCAGATCGCTGACACACCTATTCAGCTCCATCAAAAACTAGCACCTGATACAGGAGAACCCCTGGAAAATCCCACTCGGTATCGTGAAATTGTTGGTGCTTTGGTGTATCTCACTATTTTCCGATCAGACATTGCTTATGTTGTTCATGTGGTGAGTCAATTTGTTCAGTCTCCTACCTCAGCTCAGTATGCTGCTGTACTTCGTATTCTACACTATCTTCGTGGCACTTCATCTAGAGCTCTCTTGTTCTCCTCAACATCAAAGCTACAACTGCGTGCCTTCTCTGACTCTGACTGGGCCGGTGATATTAGTGACCGTCGATCTATTACCGGTTTTTGTGTATTTCTTGGTGATACTCTTATATCATGGCGAGCTAAGAAGCAATGTATTTCTTGGTGATACTCTTATATCATGGCGAGCTAAGAAGCAAGATGTCGTCTCAAAATCTAGTGCTGAAGCGGAGTATCGATCTATGTCAAATACTACCTCTGAGATTATCTGGTTGCGACAGCTTCTACGTGACATGTGTATTGATTGTCTCTCTCCGACTCCTCTCTATTGCGACAATCAAAGTGCAATAAAGATTGCTACCAATCCAGTGTTTCATGAGCGTACAAAACACATTGAGATTGATTGTCATTTCATACGACATCACTTTTCAAAGACTAAGACGATCTCTCTATCATATGTTTCATCTGAGCTTCAGCTTGCTGATTTCTTCACCAAAGCTCACACCTCCAAGCGTCACAAATTTCTACTTTCCAAACTCTCGGTGTTTGATCCACCATGAGTTTGACGGGGGGTGTTAGGAATATATTAGGAATTATATTATATGGAGATTATATACCTTATTAAGATAGAGAATATGCTGGAATAATTATATTATTTCTTACCATATTTGTACAATGTAACTTGTATATATTCATTGTTCATGAAGAGAATAAAGAAGAACTTTTGCTCATCAAATTCTTCTTCGTTTATCAAACATCACTTAATATATTTTTCTAAGCAAGTGAATTAATTTGTTTCTTTTAAAAATGTCAAAAAGAATCACTCTTTTTTTTAATGAAGAAAAAGAACTTCATTCAAGACTACCAATGAAAATATATTTCATCTTTAGAAAGCATAGGAATTAAGGTAGGAGCCCCTCTCCATCCATCTTATAGAGGCTGTTTACAGAGAATGCATTAGATCCTGACGTGTTCACTAAATTCAGTTCAATAGCGTCAACAATATATTTGGACAAATAAAACTTTATTGATGATCTTGCTATCGTGTAGCTGACAACTCCTCTGAGATTGAGGATGACACACTCACACTCTCACACTCTGATGTACAACAAACAAAATAAACAAATCCAGTTGCTAATGTTTGGCTAAATCTCTATGCACAAGGTATCTGAAAGATGATTTGTATGGAGACCATTCAACGCACTTATCAAGCTTTCGTCGAAAAATACACCCTTGAATTCTTTTACGTGCTTCATCTGGCATGCAATCGGAGCACATCTCCACGAGAGCGAATAAATCTAAAGAAGCATCTCTGGCATAATAACCCAATATCTTCGGCATGGTAATTTTGCTTTCCTTTTGGATCGAGACATTAGCTTGAACGAACTCCTCTTTTGCTAACTTCAATTCTCCGTAAATATTCTTGGCTTTGTATGCTCGGATCTGTCAAACAGTAGTAGTACAATGAGAACAATGAAAGATTTTTATTGGAAAATGGATTTTTTTGTATTTATTCTTTATTTATTTATTTTGAAAATCATGGAAAATCCCCTCAAAGTTTGCAGGAAAGACAAAAATTCCCCGGAGTTTTAAAACTAACACATTCACTCCCTTCTCTTGTTTCTCCCCTTAAGAAAATAGACAGGGACATTATATGAAACCCATATGGCCCTAGTTTGGTAGAAAAATTAAAAGGAGAGGGTGGAAGTGTTAGTTTTAGAACTTCGCGCACGGGTGTTTCCTGTCATTCTTGCATATCTTAACAGAGTTTTTCTGTAATTTTCCCTTAGTTTTTTATAAAAAGGTTTCGAAGTCTTACAGCAGGATCAGAATAGGCTCCTAAACAAAGAGCAAAATGAGAAAGGGGCTCAGGATTCTTAAGAGCATATGGATGTTTGTCTTTCCCTTTCTTTAATTTCATCGATGGTAATAACAGTGTACGTAGCCCCTGCAATCATGTTATAAGAGACACTTAGGACTTCATATTGTCTCCTTGTTAGACTTTGTAGATAATGAAAAAGATCATGGCAAGATGGAAAATATACCGTTGCAGGTCGATGGAGTTGGCATCCAAGTATCGAGCTTTGAATGTCATAAGCATTTACTGAGTGCCCACCAATGTCATATGCTGCCTGGAAATTAATTATAGAAATGAATGAGTGAATACTTGTTTGATGCGATGAAGTTTCAAGGGGTAAATGTAAAGAGCACAGGTGAAATGCTTACTTTCAAGATTGAGAAGTTACTTTTCATTTGATTCTGATGAAGTCCATAAGCTAGAAAGGCCTGACAGCCAAACAAAATTGTTAATAGGAGAGCATTAGTTTCAGAGTAACGATAGACATCTCCTTAAGTTATTGATAATAATAGTAAGGAAATATAATCATTAGGCTTACATGCATCACTAGAGCATTGTGAATGTTTATCCAAAAAGCAAGCTGCTCTTCATGGTCCATCTTTTCTGGTTTAATTTTGTCAAGACGCCGAATCAGGGACCTACGACAGTGGCAACATTCATCAAGAAGAAAAAGGAGACGAGTAATACGGCAGAAAATAGAGAAATGCCCCTTGACCATTTTATCAAAAAAGACAAACAATATTAGTCTTTTTCTCTTCCAATCATTCCTCTTATCTCTTCCTACAATAATACTCCTTCCACTTCATCATGTATATTCTGCATTTTTTCCCCTACTTAATAAATTCCCGGCAACTTACCCCAATTACCTCAAAAAAAAAAAAAAATCAAAAAAAAAAAAAAAAACATGTTTTTGTCTCATTTTCTCTTCATCTTCTCCTACCCTAATTTTAACGCCTAGGATATATGCCTTTTTATACTCTTCAATAATGTCCATTAAAGTAAGTTTTAGATCATAAAGCCAATATCAATTCCAAAATAATGATGAATACAATGGACAATGACTATAGTTTTAAGTAACATACTTGTGCTATGGTCTGTAATTATGTGAAAGAACTGAAAGATGGCTAGGTACCTGAAAATGTTCAGCATGTTGGAGGCATAGCCAAATCTATCACCATCTATGCTGAGCCTTGGGACTTCTATCATATTACTATATGGGCTTTGCTTGTTTTTTGGAGAATCGAACGAAGAGGGACTCGTTGTAGCTTCATAATGGCATCGAGGACTCCAACTGTCACGAGCATCCCCCGGGGAGAGCGTGCTTGAAGAGGAAGCAGATGGAGTAGGTGAAGAGAAGAGGTCCATCTGCTGTGTTGGAGGAGTCGCAAGCTTGCAGTAAATGGAACAAATGCATCTAATGATATCTTCAGAAAGTTTGCTTGGGGTTTGAGGAACATGATCAGCAATTGTAGTACCAAGAAGATCTGCAAGATTCTGATGGCCAGGCATGGTAGAGCTTGGGTCATCCTATAAAATTTAGGAAAATAAAGGTCAGAAGCATATATAATAAATGGCTATTGAAAAGCTCAAGAGAAAGAAAGTTGATGCATGTATAGCTTTGATTTCTATTATTTGTTTTTCATCTTTTACTTTTATCATTTCTGAAGGATAATGTAGAAAGCCCCAACTTCAGGATTTGGATCTTCTCTACAACAAAAAATCGAAAAGTATTCCACTACTTTTATCAAAACTGTCGATTGTTTAATTGATAGTTGTGATTCGTTTTGAGTGAAAAGTGTGAATGAGTACAACATATGGGGATATGGTGATGGTTAAATTTCCAGATAATCTTGACTGTAACAATAGACGATTGTAAATAAAAGTAGTAGTCAACTGAACAATAGATGGTTGTGATTAATAAGTACCGGTCTCTCCACTATTTTTTGGGAGGGAAGGAAATATCAAATATTCATTTTCCCATAATTATCCATGTTATGGTATGGAGGTCTACTATAATCACTAGTACAGTCTAAAGGATTGCAATCAAGGTGTAACATTTCAGTGCGCTAGGCTGGAATCTAGATGAAAATAGAAAATTATTAGGATTTGTTGTTAAAAGCTGATTATATCTGAGGTCAAATGACTAATTTACATACTACAAAAAAGATCAAGTATTCAGAAGCATATAAAAGATCCACATATTATAGGGTGGCATGTTGAGGATTTTTATGCATTTCAATAAACAAGAAAAATATCAAAATCTTATCACTTTCCAACATGTCCAAAAACTGAATAATCATGGAAACATGAAGTAGCTAGATTATTACCTTGATGTTTAAAATTAAGGTACTCTTAACAATCTTACTAATCAAGAATGGAATTTCAAATAAAAGGTGATGGCGAGCGTTTGCACTCGCACACATCTACAGATGTATGTCAGTCGGGTAAGAAGATAGCAGAATTGAATTATTGTAAGCAACAGTTCAAGTAGAATATATCGCAGTAAAGGAAATGCAGAGATAAAACCATACGTATTTAGGATCTTCTCTTAGTGAAGGACCAGAACTAGCATCTGAAACGGGTCCTATATCATGGGCAGGAGAATCCTCACTACGCCTGCAATTAGAATCACTCTTCATTTCATTTCTTTCAAGGCTTCGGGATTGATCCATTTCATCATTCATATAATAAGAACTGGATGCATGACTTTCTTGATGCTCTATCGGGATTCTATTAGTATCCTGCAATACGGGTCCAGTGTGGTGTTGAACAGGAGACCTTGAGGCTTGAGTAGTGTTGCTTGGTGAGCTGGTGAGGTATTGATCGAAAGTTGTCCGATATAGAGAGAGGAGGTAGCGTTCCAAATGTAGTACTTCAATTTCGAGAGTAGAAATCTCCTTGATTAATTCTGTAGCAGACTGCATTTAACATATATAAAAAATTGACCTTAAACAACTGCAAGTGAGATAAATGAATTGAGAAAAGGGGATAAACATAGTGGTTCATGTTTCAAACAAGCAATATTATGCTTTTAATATGATAATATCTTGAAAATGTCTGAAATTGTTTAATGATATATCATGATAAGGAAGGGACTCAAATTTCATGTTACGAAAGAGGATGGACTGTTCACTTTGTTGGGTAGATAGATCTCATGTAATATATTCAGACAACCACAATAGTTTAATTTTTTTATATTTCGTTTATGTGTTCACCATTCAGTAGATCGTCAAAATACAACAACATAGATAATTTGAAAATATAAATATATGACACATATTAAAATGAACAACGATTGAAATAAACTTGCTGAAGATTATTATACATCACAAACTAAATTACACATTGATCATCAAAATGACTATAGCCTATTCAATAAATGATTAAACTTCCCTAAAAATTTCCATGTTATGCAACAAATAGTGAAACTACCTTTTGTTGTCTAACTTCAGTTGAAGCCATGTAGTTTCTGCAGCTACTTTGTGATGTGTTCTCTGAAATGCACAGGGAACTCCGACCATGTAGTCTTCTATTTAGCCGCAAATTCTGTATAAATAAAACATAAATGAAAAAGAATTTAGGATAAATGGAAACATTAGTCATAATTAAAGCAATCAATCTACTTCCTTGTGTATGATTGTATCCCACATACAGATAGATAGTCTATGAGATAAACTAGCCCTGTGACTTTTGGCAATACGTGGGTTCAAGATACGTACAAGAAGATAGTGATCAAGTGCATAAAATGATCAAACGTACAAGAGTTCAAATGCTTACAGGATTACAGTGAGATGGCCGAGGCGACACATTCAGTATATCTTCACGAGCTTCTGAAAGACTGGGAAATTTTGTAAACAGTCTGTTAGATTAGAAAACTGTATGAACTTGTATCATTTGTCAATAAAAGTAAATTATGAATCCTTTCAGAAAAAAACGTGACTATGAGCACTCCAAGAATTGCTAATGGGGAAAACTAGCAACTGATGCTTATTACAACGGGAAGGCTAAGTTACCAATTTCTTTCATTGATGCAAAGTTTCTCTATGAATGTGAACAAGCACATAGAATAGAATCGTTTGTGCAGAGTTTGATGCTATAGAGCAAGGCTTTAAATTCAAATAAGTCAATTACTAACGTCTGCGATACATGCCAAAAAATTCTAAAATTTGGAAGTTGATCATATTTCTGGAGGTGCTTGAAATTAATCCGCCAAGAAATTCATGTAATGGTAAGACTTCGAAAATCTCGGGATTAGTTATAATGAACACCTTCCAATAAAATTTACGTTTTCTCATCCATAGTGATGCCCTTTTAGGAAATCTTCTAATAAAATTTACAGGTCTGTCCGAGGACCCGCGCGAAGTCTCGGAAAAAAAAACACCAACAAAAAATTCTCGGACAAAGCCAAAGGTTTAGATTCGACAATAGAAGAAGGTCCCAGGTTCAAGATCATTCGCTTCAGCCTCCGTCAAAAGAAGATAAAGGGGGAAAGAAAAAGAAGCGGAAAATACGAACATGTCCCCAGAAAAAGTAGTGAGTGAGTGAGAGAGAGAGAGACAGAGAACAAAGCAACAAAAACAGAAAGGTGTCCGGACTCAAGAAACCAGAATCACCAGCCAAAAACCCCTGTCATGGAATTTTTATTATCTTACACCTTCATTTAGGACCTCAGTCGTATAAGTAGCATCCTAACCTTCCACTTATTCCCCCATTGTTTACTAACAACAAAGTTAAAGATTCTATTAACAACTCCAACCAAACGTATAAAAAAACACAGAAAAGTTAATTAATTACAAAAATTAGAAGCATCATCAATTAGGTCCCCTCCCAATCATATCAACTCTAGGTTTACATCTCATGATTCTACTCTACTAGACGGGCGAAAAACTCTGTTCATTAAAAAAATTAAAAATTAAAACCCGAGCTTGAATTAATTCCACATAAATATTCACCTCTGCGAACGGCGAATTCGATATAGAGAACAATAAGGAGAAGAGCAGCTAACTCCAGGCGTTTCCATGGAATCCACTCTCGCAAACGTCTCTGATTTCTTCAAAGCCTGCATGCCTGATCTCTGCAAAAGAAAAACCCAAGTGACCCATTAAATTTCGGTATAATTTAACCAAAATCAACCCATCAAACCACCGACTGCTAGATTTTTCTGCAAGTCCTCTGCTAAATTTTGGAACAACATTGTACACGAGCAAATTAAGCCAAGGATTCATTGGACTATAAACTAAGACTACCCACCAAAAGAAAGCAAAGAGGCCATGCACCGAAATTTGGAGTAAAAGTCGGAAAAAAAAAGTATGGAAAATTAGCCAGCTAAAAAAAAAAGGCCTGACCTATAGAACGCAAACGCTGATCATTGCAAGAAGAAGGAACCCCTGATTATCTTTCTCTTTTCTCTGTGAAATGAAATAGAGAGGAACAGTTGAACTCAAGAGGGGCGAACGGGGTTGAGGACACTGAAGACAGTGATGGGTTAAGGTTGGAGGGAGAGAAATAAGCCATAAATGCGGTTAAATTTTATATAGGGAAAGGATACCCTCCTCAGGCTTCAAGACAACCAAATCTCAGAAAGCAAAGATGACCCACCATTAAAATACAACGTGGGTAATAAATTCATGATTACTGCACATAACACCATATTAAATAGTGATTAATGCATTATAATCTTAATTGCTTTGTAGCAGGTGGTTCTGCTCAACCCACTATGAATTAGTTAAAACAGTAGTAGCCATCCAGATTAGGTGGTTCTGACTTTGAATTAAAAATGGGGAAATGGAAAGTGATGTAATGTCAAGTAAACAGAGTTGAGGGTTATGATGAGATAAAAGTTAGGTCAGGGTTATGTTGCATGTCTATTTTTCTTCGCTTGTTTTGAACACTCGTCGATATCATATTAAAGCTTCTTACTCTATTATGTCATAATAATGAAGTTGCGATGAGAGTTGAAACTTATTGATCAATATTCTTGTCCCCAAGAGCCTTATGTTTTGTTTTTTTAAAATTATCCAAGGGTATGTAATACTCTGATCATTAAGTAATCAAAATACAGGATCACTGGATGATTTCTACTCTTGATATGCAGCCCTACAACAAATCCACCAAAGGCGAAAGTAGGAATCTTTGGAAGCAATAATTAGTTCTGGTATGAAGAGTTGGAGATGGGTGTTATTTTTCTGCCATTTATATATTTATATTGGGGGCTTTGGATGCAGAGTGAGAAAAGTGAGGGGTGGTAGTATCCATAACTAGATAAATTAGGAAAATGCCACATCTGATGAATGCGGTCCACCGGCAAAGCTGTCAGTAAATAATCCAATTGATAGATTTTATATTCATTCAATTTTGTTAGGAAAAGGGCTGGAGTGGCCCTAGGAGTGAGGTCAGCCAGCTGGTATGTTGTACTTGCAGAGGTGGTATCGTTTCACCATTTGACAGAGTCATGGTAACTTTGAAGACGACTCACAGGATCACTCACGGGCTCTTCAGTTCTTTGCCATGATTTATATCGTATTCTTTTACCATCCAATGCCATGTAAATCTCCCGTAACAAAAGATTATAAATCATATGTATAGTGCGGAATAGTAGCTTGCAATATAATACAGATTAAGTGCGATAGGGACAAGTGATAAATAGGAGTGCATTCGGTTCCGATACGGCTCGGATATGATATTTATCATATCCATATCCGCTAAGCCATTTTAGATACGGATACAGATACATATATGGATATACCTCGGTAAGGAAAATTCATGTCCATATCTGCTAAAATCGGATACGGATACGAATATACGTGTAGATATATAAACAGATATGCATGTGGATATAAAATGAACATGAGAAACCTAGGATTGTCCAATTGGGCCTAAGGAATACCCCTAAAGCGATCAAAAAACAGCCAAAATTTGAGGGTATTTTGGTCATTTGTCTAGGGGTTGCCTCTATAAATAGAGGGGGTTTTCATTTATTTTTCTCATCCAAAACTCATCTACTTCTCTCTAATACTCTCTAATACTCGCTTTTCCTCTGCAGTTCTTCAATCAAATGGCTTCCTCCTCTGATTATGAAGGGCAAAACCTAACTCCCGATCTTAAAATGAGTCATAATACTCCTACTACAAGAACTACAACAACTACTCCTACTCCTACCGATGTTGATCACTACTCCGGTGGCGACGATTCTACACTAAGAGCTCCTAAAAAATCGAGATCCTATGTGTGGAACTCTTTCGAAAAGATAGAAGTCACCAGAGATGAACACGGTAGGCTTCTCACCCATAAGGCTAAGTGTGCGTTGTGCGCCATATTTTCCAAGCTCATCATAAGAGCGGCACCAACCACCTCAAACGCCATTTAGAGAAACACAACAAATGTTAGACGCCTCAAGGTGATATCCGACAATCTTTACTCTCACAATCCTCATCTTGTGGTAGTCTCGGTAGTTGGAACTATGACGCAGTCCGAGCTATGAAATGCGTAATCAGATTTATTATTCTTAAAAATCTTTCTTTTAAATTAGTAGAAGATGATTAATTTGAATATATGTTTACAGATGGTTTTTAGCCCGCATTTAAAAAAATTCTCGTCAAACTTATCAACGTGATATTTTAAAATATTATCAGGGGGAACAAGTAAAAATAATTTCTTATTTTCAAAGTTTAAACTGTAAAATTTCTTTAACTTTTGATATTTGGACATTTAGAGCATAAACTAGTTATTTATGTATCACATTACATTGGATTGATGATAATTGATAAATATTTAAAAAAGTTATTTTTTTATTGCATTTGAAGAGTCACATACTAGTATTAATATTATAAATTTAATAGTTAAAGAACTTATAAAATTAGAAATTTTAGAAAGAATATTTTCTCTTTCACTAGATAATACAAGTAATAATAATGTAGCTGTTGATTATATCAAAACATCTCTGCTATTGTCATGTCATTGTGATATTTTTCATATTAGATGTGTATGTCATATTTTAAATTTAATTGTTCAAAGTGCTTTAATAAAGTTAAATCCATGATAGAAAAGATTAGGACAGTAGCTTATGCTCATAATGCTTCTGAACAAAGAATTAAAAGATGAAAACAATTCTATAAAAGAAAAAAAAAATTAAAACTCAGACTAATTCCAAAAGATGTTGATCATATATAGGTGGAATTCTACCTATGCAATGTTAAATGTAGCAATAGAGTATAAAGAAACTATAAATAATTTTATTGTTTTCTACACTTCTAGTTCTAGATCTGGTAGTATGTATGGAATAACTGAGGACGAATGGATAATTATATATAGTGCAAAAGAGATGTTACAAGTTTTTTATGATGATACTATGTTATTACCTGGTTGTTATTATCCAACAATTACTATAGCTTCTTTACAAGTTTTAAAAATTAATAAATATCATATGGATAATTATTTTGGAAGTATAATATTTCAAATGGAAAGTAAATTTAATAAGTATTTTAGGCATATTCCTATTATTTTTTGTTTGAAGGTTCTTATTAATCCATGTTTAAAGGATATTGGCCTTCGAAGTTTGTTAAATTCTCTGTATGGTAACATGATAATAGACACTGATGATGATCAAACTATTACTACTCTTACTCATCATAATACTATTATGTGACGCCCTAAGGTTCACACAAGGCTGCAGTTCAAGGTGAAACTCAGATTATCAAACCTGCCAAGCATCAACACCATGCTATGGTATGTTTCACCATCACAGTCATTATCTCTCTAGTAGAGTCAACAAATAGGTGAAGGTACAAAATAAGCAAATAATAGAAATAGTACAAGAATAGAATATGCACAGAAGAAGTATGAGAATGATCAACACAAGAGCCCAACTGACTTAGTATAAGAATATCTCTGATCTGTAATAAATGTATCAAGTCTCATAACAAGAGTCAAAAGAAAATCTCTTTAAGGCACGCTACCTCTAAAAAATAAAAATACAATCTCTAGAGTCTAAAAATGAACAACTACTGTGGAGCTTTGTAAATATCTACTAATAAAATAAATAATATGAATGCTAAGATGCGACTCCATCAATCCTGTGACACTCCGCATGCTTGACTCGTCACCTGAAAATAGGGGAAAAAACGAGCGTCAAGCACTAGCGAGATCATCTCTACCGCTCCCAAGAGGAAGCAGTAGTAGTATATAAGAAAATACTGGTTAGTACATATAATTATAAAACCATCAATACTGCGCTAAACAGAAATTGGTATTTAGAGATTCATAATACGAGAATGGGTACGTCAAGCAAAATAATTCAAACAAGGAAACCCTCATGTATATACCTCATATCTCAAATTATAAATCGCTAAATATAAATCTCAACTAAGAATAAAAATGCAAGTGAAATTAGTAACTAGAAATCCACAACTCGAGACTAGTACGTCGAGCGAAATAATCCAAACAAGGAAACACTCATGTATATACCATATATCTCGACCTATAAATCACTAACTACTAACTTCAAACCTATATATGAACAATCATCACAAACAGAAATATTACAGCTTCTACCCTCAATCATAAAGAAACAATTTGTCACAATCTCAGACTACCCTCAGGTAGCTGACACCATCATAATGAAATATTATCCAGCTCAAATATTACAAAATACCATATCATGTATGTCATATATCCAATGTATACCCTACTCATGGGTAAACTACATGGAATCATACTACAACTATATATATATATATATGCATCTCTCTTTACAATAGTGATACTCTTGTAAGGTTCTTACTCAATCGCTCTGCGGCAATAGGTTTTATCATCCTATTCCGGCTACATGAAATAACGATACTCTTGTAAGGTTCACACAATAACATATGTGTTCAACTTCCTTACTCAATCGTTCTACAACAATAAGTTTTATCTCCTTATTTCGGATATGCTTCTAGATGATCGTACAATAATGAATAGGAACATAAGCCTAACCAGGAAAAACACCGATCATATTCGAGTATTTGGTACAACCGAGGTCTCATTATGGGAAAAATAACTAAACACTCCTAGTGTGGTACGACCGAGGTCTCATTACAGGATAAACAACCACACTGAGCATCCATAAATTATGAGTAATACTTTACCGATCATATGTTAATTCACTTTTATCAACCACACTGAGCATCCATAAATTATGAGTAATACTTTACCGATCATATGTTAATTCACTTTTATCAACTTAACATGTGTTAAGTATCTCGATAATGCATGTCAATACAATATAAACTAAGTGTACATGCATATATCTCGGTGTGCGTGTCAATATATAATGTTCACCAACACCTCAGGTGTTTAACAACTCATAAGGATCGTTATGCAACATAACAAGATAGAGAAAATTTCCCCAAAATTAAAAATCAGGGAAGAAAACATGCGCTGGCCCATTATCAGACTGGTGGTCGACCGAAATATAGCGGCGGTCGAGGCTACCCTTGCCTCTGTTTGACACGCGGTTGACCACCGATTAGGCGTGGTCGACCAGACGTGAT